AATGGGAGAACAGGAACTCTTGAGAAAAGTTGCTCATAAAGCCAACTTTTCTAAGGAGTTGCCAGAAGTTTTTTGGTTTTTTGGTTTTTTGGTTTTTTTAATTTAACCATTTTGAATGGTTAAATGCAACCAGCAGCCACTCCTCAGCCCTCTGGGTTAGAAAGAGGGGAAGGGAGTTTGGAACTGAGTAGGGACATAAATGCACAAAGGTCTGGGACAACACTCAAGGAATCAGCCTTGAGGAGAAGCACAAATGACATGGGGGCGGGGGGGGGGGGGGGGACACACGACTCAAAAGGATTTGGTTTACTTCTTGCCCAGCAGTTGAGTTCCAGCCCTCAGATGAAGACAAACCTTTGCCTCCCTGCAGCCTCTACCTGGACCAGAAACCACTGGCAAAAGTGGCCCCAGACAAAGGCCAAGTCACTGTCACAGAGAAGGGCCCAGGCAGTGTGGGGAGGGAGTCTCTGCTGCTGTCTGCCCGGTAAAGAGCCTTCAGGCGCCTCCTCCCCACCCCCACGGCTCTGGGCAGGAGGACCCTTGCTCTGTCCCCACGGAGATGCACACAGGGGCCGGGCGCCCAGGGAGCCTGCTGGCTGCTCCAGCCCGGTTCCTGCCCGCACGCAGGAACGCCCCCGCGCTCAACATCGGCTCAGAGCTTGTTTCTGCGAGCCTCACAGGCGTTCAGTTCTCACAGGACCGAGATGTTCACTCCTTTGAAATCCAACCTCCAAAGCCTCGCCCCCACCTGCATCGCCCTGCCTCTCCCCACTGGCGGCTGCCAGGAGCGCCCGGGGAAGGCCCTGCCCATGCGTTGCTTGGGAACACTCCAGTGCTTGCAAACCGCAGATAATCCGTGAGCTGCAAGCTTTTGAGAAAATCCTACCACTGAGTTTAGATCTTCCACTCCCTAAAATACGAAGGCCAACAAGCAGCAGGAAAGATCACAAAATGGGAAACTGCTTCGTTAAATCAACTATTACACTAGCCCGCAACCCATGAAATGCAGAAAGTACCTTTAACTACTGAAAACCCGGAACAGCACCTCAGAGTGATTCTGAACTGCAGCAGAGCCTTACCAGCTCTGGCGCACAAAATCATTTCTCGTGTCTCCAAAACAGCATTGTGCCAACAGACGAGTCTAGAAAAGCCAGAGAATTTTGTGGGATTTCAGACTTCTTTTGCTGCCAGAAAAAATTCAAGGTTTAGGAGCACTTGGGTGGTTCAGTCTGTTAAGTGTCTGTCTTCAGCTCAGGTCGTGATCCCAGGGTCCTGGGATCGAGTCCCATGGGGCTCCCTGCTTCTCCCTCTCCCACTCCCCCTGCTTGTGTTCCCTCTTTTGCTGTGTCTTTGTCAAATAAATAAATAAATAAAATATTTTTTTTTTTATTTTTAATTTAAAAAAAAATTCAAGGTTTACTTCTGGTTGTACTCTCACACCGTGGGCTGCCAGAGTGCCGGCCACCAAGACGCAGAGCCCTGGCATCCTCTCAAAGACACAATGGGAACACCCAGCATGGCCACCGAATCGTTTTCTAGTGGAAACCACCAAGATATTGACTGCGTCACAGCACAAAGCAGTGAGTGTCCTCCCAGTAGGAGCCCAGCATCCCCACACCGGGTGTGTGTGCCCCCCACCCTGCTGGGTTCCACCGCAGACTGTCACTGTGCGGCCCCAGGCCGGCGGCACGCCCTGCGTCTGGGGGATCGGCCACACACCAGTGACCTGGGGTCCTCATCCTTACCCAGCAAGTGCAAACCCACCCGAGACCCGCAGCCACCATCTCTCCTAGGGGAGCCAGGGGCACCTGCGAGTCACAACAGAGAGAGCTCTGCCTCTGCCTGGATCACCGGAGTCCCATCAGAGGCCCCAGGCTTCCTGCTGGTCAGTCTCCAGGAGCTCATCAAGAGCGGGGTCTTCCACACGTGCGGGACTGTTTACGAACTCAGGCACCAGGGCGGCCCCACCCGCATCCACGAAGGGACCGTCAAGAGTAGAAGGGGGCCTTCTGAAGTCTCCGGGCCCATCTACAGACGCCACAGGTGTCCGCCCTAGCCATCTCCAGCAGCCAGGAGACACCGACACCAGAGCTCTGCCCAAATTTACTGTCCCCGGTCTGACTTCCTACCCAGGGAGTTCTTAGCATCCTATGTTCATGTGCAAGCCAAGTTCAAGATGCACGTGTTGGAGACCCTGCAGTCTGAGCTCTTGACAAGCCTTCTTGCCACCGGGTGAGCTACCAGTCGTGGACGTGGTCAGGCTCATGGTCTAAAGTCGGAGCACCCGCGGCCCAATCGCGGCTCTGTCCTCCATGCTCTGTGGGACCCTGGGCACTCCATGGAACGACCTGGCACTATGCAGCCTCTTTCCTCCAGTGTGGAGAAAAGCGATACTCACCCTCTCGTCTGAGCCGCCCAAAGGAATGAAAGTATTATCACATGTAGATCTTTTTTTTTTTTTTAAGATTTCTTAAAGTTATTTTTTTGACAGAGAGAGAGACAAAGCAAGCATAAACATAAGCAGGGGGAGAGGGAAAAGCAGACTCCCTGCTGAGCAGGAAGCCCAATGCAGGGCTCGATCTCAGGACCCTGCAATCATGACCTAAGCCGAAGGCAGATGCGTGACCTGTGGAGTCAGCCGGGTGCCCCCTTTCAGCAGTTTCTGAGATTTCTCAAGTACTCATTACTACACTACTACTATTACTACAGCCCTACACCACTGCCAGTACTGTTGTGGCCCCTGCTGCCACCACCAGGAGAACGAGCCCCTGCCGAAACTGCTACTACCAGTGCTATTACCACTCGCAGGAACGACTACTGTTGTTGCCGTGACTACAGAATACGAGCTTCTGCGGCGGCCAGCAACACTACCACCGACTATGTCTCTGCGGCCCCTGCAGCTGGCAGTAGTAGTAATACTACACCGAGTAGAGTGTATATACACGGAGTATAGTGCAGTGTAATACACGTAGGCAGCGGCCCACAACAGCGAGGAAAACCAGAAGCTTGAGAGCCGCAACCTTCAGCTTCTTCAGCCCTGGGCAGCCAACAGAAAGGAGAGAACCAGAGGCTGCAGAGGCAGGCCTGCTCCGGATACGATCCAGCACCGGACTCCAAGGACACGGGTCCCTGCCCACGCCCAAGCAGACAGGGGACATGGGCCCCAGGCACATGCCCAGGCTCCGAGGCCACGCGACAAGTCGACTCCACCAGCACTCTGCTCTGGAAGGTCAGCAGCCACATCTCCTCGGAAATCCCGCACCCACCGGCCACAATAAACCCCAGCTTGTCACCCTGTGTATTTCGAATGGAGACCTATAGTGACGGCATAGAAACACCATCACTGGGACATCAGTACACAGGTCAAAGCCAGGCTGGGACAGCCTCAGGGTGTCCTGTCCCCTCTCCCACCCCCACCCCCGCCCCCAGACAGTCCTGCTGCTTTGCATCTCCACCCGGCCCCGTCACAAGCCACAGCAGATCTAGATGCTGCTCGGTGTCCCATGTATTCGCCCCCACCCTCTGGCCAACCCCCTTTGTCATCCAGGGCAACTTCAGTCTCCCAGAACCATCCGTCCCCTGTCGCCTGACTGACTGGTTTGCTGCAGTTACACAGGGCAGGGATCACGCACCTTCCCACTGCTCTTCGATACAACAGAGCCTTTAAGCAGACAAACCAGCCAGCCCACCCACCTCACGCCCAACAAAACACACTTATGACAACTCACCGCCCTTCTCCACCTAAAACCACCTTTTCACGGCAACCGCAACTCCCACCCCTACGACTCTCCTACACTCACACGCCCATCAACGTCCCTAGGGCAGGATGATGGTGCGACAGAGAGCGGGGCCAGCCAGGTGGAGCGGAGGCACCCTTCCAGCAGCCCACAGCCCGGACCAGTAGGCGCTCACGGCTCTCACTGGCACTATGCCCAGGAGAACACAATTTTACTGGATAAGCTTGACTGAGGCCCATCGGGCTAATGGAGTCACCGACCTCCTGGCTTTTTGCCTTTGCTCTTCCATTCCAGATCACTCCTAGAGTAGCTGCCGTGTCACGCTACCAAAGCTCCCTCTTCCAAGCAGCGATCCACGCCAATAGTTAGCGACAGGAAACCAGAATAGGGTGGGGCCCGAAGCCTCCAGAATTCATGGAGCCAGAGCTCCTCCACCGAGGGGGTTTTGGCTCAGAACACGTGTCCAGCTGGAAAGGGGGCAGCCCAGAGAACAAGGCACCCTTGAAAGCTCTGGCCAGCTCCAGCCCAGACACAGGGCCCTGAGTTCTGGTCCCCTGGAAGGGGAAACACAAGAAAACCTGCTCGGGGAAAGCATTTATCAGATTTGGCCTGGTCAAGTTCACTGTAATTTGCTAAACACCTAATAAACTGTTTCATGTTATTCTGGGCTCTGACCCAAATTTACTTCCTCCAAATCAGAAGGCACATATTCCTTGAGGCTGGGGAGTCTTCTCTGGGTCAAGGGTCACTCTTTTTCTTTTTTTTTTTTAAGACTTTTTATTAATTTCTTTGACGGAGAGGGATACAGTGAGAGAGGAAACACAAGCAGGGGCAGTGGGAGAGGGAGAAGCAGGCTCCCGCTGAGCAGAGAACCCGATGCGGGGCTCGATCCCAGGACCCTGAGATCATGACCTGAGCCAAAGGCAGATGCTTAACCATCTGAGCCACCCAGGCAAGGATCTCTCTTAGCATTTATAACATTTACTGAGAGCCAATAGCATCCTAACAGGGCATAAAACTTCTGGGCCCCATCCTCCCACAATACGGCCTTTCAATTCGTTAAAAGAAAAATAGTAATGCCTCCCACCCGAGTATCCGCCCATTCTGAAGATGAGCACAACCGCTGAGCCACAGGCATCACATTTCCTAGATGTGCGCTCTCCTCAGACGCTGCGGTCACTTGCCTCTGTCCCCAAGTATGCCGCCCACCTCAGTGCCCACCCACACGAGGAAAACAACACACGAGCCCATGAAAGCTTTCACCTCAATGAGCGTAAAAACTCCCAGAACTACATAGGATTTCCAGTAACACTTTATGATGGCTTTCGTTAAAGAAGGCTTCCGTGCATCTTTCTCGGCTCTCGAAACTTCTTTATCCCAGCACCTGTGAGGAGAAAAACCAAGCACGATGAGAAACAGCTTGTCTGACCAGAAGGCAGAACAGGGGAGGTGGCTGACAGCCCCCCCGGGGCTGCCTCCCTGGCCCTGGATAACTGTTTGCAGCCCCCGGCCATCATGAAAGACGTGTGGGGCGGAATCTGAAACAGCAGAAAAAACATGCCTTGTGGGGAATAGTTTCAGTCTCAGGAAACAAGTCGCGGCCAAGCGTGGCTGGACTAACAGCGCCAGGCACAGGCCAGGAAGCCAGACAGGCACAAAGACGGCCTCCTCCGGCGAGACCATCTCTGGGGACAGAGCCTGGTATCCAGGGCCTTTGAGGCTGGCAAGCTCCACACCACAAAAGCACAGGAAAGACAGGTCATCCCCGAGCCACCAAAGGAGGCTAAGCCTGGGGACAGCCTAGGGGGAGGGCAGGGCACAACAGGAGGGAAGGAGGCTCCAGAAGGGCCTAGGGGAAGGCAGAAACCCTCTCAAACCATGAGACACTCACTTAGAAGAAATTCTCACTCCTCTGTACCCTTCTCCTTCCCGCCTGGGGCTTACCCTTGCAACTCCTCTCCCAGATGCTTCGAGCGATCTTCTGGAAGCACCGAATACATGTCATCTTCCTCTAACCTCCGTTTGTGCCCAATTTTAAACAAGGGGTTCAGCCACCTGTGAAGAATTAAGACAAATTAGGCATCTGTCTAATTAGAATCCCACATTGATGGGGTTTAAAAAAATCTATAAAACAAAATAGCATATGATTTCACTTCTGTGTAGAATCTAAAAACACTGGAAACAGACCCATCAATACAGAAAACAAACGGATGTTGCTGGAGGGACGGGGGAAGGGAGTGTGCAACAAAGAGGGGTTGGGGGTGCAGGCTTCCAGTTACAGAGCACGAGTAAGTCACAGGGAGGAAAGGCACAGCATAGGGAATCGAGTCAGCGGTGTTGTAATTGTGGTGTGTGGTGGCAGACGGCAGCCACACCTGGGGTGAGCACAGCACAACCCACGGAGTCATCAAAGGGCAACATGGCACAGCTGAAACAAATGTGACAACGTGGGACAACTACACTTCAGTTTTTTGAAGGTCTACATTAGAGATATTGGGAAGGAATGAATACGTGCTTACACACATACACACGCGTACGCGCCAACAAAGCTCTATCCACTGAGAAGTCCCAGAAGCAGGGACATACCAGAAGTAAAAAGTATACTCTATGACCCAGCAATCGCACTCCTGGGTATTTACCCCAAAGATACAGATGTAGTGAAAAGAAAGGCCATCAGTACCCCAATGTTCACAGCAGCAATGGCCACGATAGCCAAACTGTGGAAGGAACCGAGACGCCCTCCAACAGACAAACGGATAAAGAAGATGTGGTCCATATACACAATGGAATATTACTCAGCCATCAGAAAGGATGGATACCCAGCTTTTCCATCAACGTGGATGGAACTGGAGGAGATTATGCTGAGTGAAATAAGTCAAGCAGAGAGAGTCAATTATCATATGGTTTCACTTACTTATGGAGCATAAGGAATAACATGGAGGACATTAGGAGAAGGAAAGGAAAAGTGAGTTGGGGGAAATCGGAGAGGGAGACAAACCATGACAGACTATGGACTCTGAGAAATAAACTGAGAGTTTTGGAGGGGAGGGGGTGGGAGGATGGTTGTCCCAGTGATGGGTATCAAGGAGGGCTCCATATTGCATGGAGCACGGGGTGTTCTATGTGAACAATGAATCTTGGAACACGACATCAAAAACTAATGATGTACTATATGGTGACTAACATGATAAAAAATAATATAGGAGCGCCTGGGTGGCTCAGTGGGTTAAAGCCTCTGCCTTCAGCTCAGGTCATGATCTCAGGGTCCTGGGATCGAGCCCTGCATCGGGCTCTCTGCTCGGCAGGGAGCCTGCTTCCCTTCCTCTCTCTCTGCCTGCCTCTCTGCCTACTTGTGGTCTGTCTCTGTCAAAGAAATAAATAAAAATCTTTAAAAAAAAAATATATATATATATATATAAATGTATTCTGGGGCCCAAATCTTGGATTTTTTTTTTTTTACCATACATAGTTACAAAAAGTTTTTCTTATGATGAGAACTTTTAAAAGCTACTCTCTTAGCAACTTTCAAACTAATGATGTACTATATGGTGACTAACATAACGTAATAAAAAATAATATAAAAAAATGTATTCTGGGGCCCAAATCTTGGATTTTTTATTTTTTTTACCATACATAGTTACAAAAAAAGTTTTTCTTATGATGAGAACTTTTAAAAGCTACTCTTAGCAACTTTCAAATACACAATACAGAATTATTAACTATCGTCAGCATGTCGTCCATGACATCACCACGACTTAATTTTATAACTAGATGTTTGTGCCTTTCAGCCCCCTTCACCCAGATCTGAGTACTTTCCTACCTTTCTTCCCTAAGTAAGGAACCAGGTCTCCTAAAAATGTCCGATTCCAAGGTTGGGGAGGTTTATGAGCGCCCCTAACGATTAGCTTTCCTAACTGTAATTTAAATGCCTGACATTAACCTTTTGATTGCCAGGGCAGCCACTTCAAAGATGTCCGTCTCAAAGGAAGACATTGCCAGCCATACGAAATAAAGAGCCAGGCCACCCGGACAGTAGCTAGTGGTCCCTCCTCTTTTAGGACGCTCACGTTGACCTAGATAACTGACCCTCTGGCCACTGGCTTTTCCATTCCTGGGCTTTAATTCCCTCTTATGTTTTAAATTCACCAATAAAGAGTGAACTCACGAAACTCCAGGCACCCCACTCCTCGACAGAAGGAGTAAAGGCAGAAGCCCAGGGGCGCTTGGGTGGGTCCGTCGTTAAGCGTCTGACTTCAGCTCCTGTCACGGTCCCAGAGTCCCGGGATCGAGTCCCGCATCGGGCTCCCTGCTCAGCAGGAAGCCTGCTTCTCCCTCTCCCATGCCCCCTGCTTGTGTTCCCTCTCTCACTGTCTCTCTCTCTGTGTCAAATAAATAAATAAATAAAATCTTTAAAGGTGGAAGCCCAGATCCCAGTGTGTGTGCCTGCATGCTCCCAGCAGCTGGCCCATGTGGGCCCCAGGCACGCTCCAGGCACGCCCTGCACCCTGTAGGACCCGTGAGTAATAGACCTCTTTTCTTAAGTTCCCTAAAGGCCATTGCTGAGACCCGACTTGCAACCCCAGGAAACTGCAAGGGCTGGTCTGGCCACAGGCATAGCTGCTAGAGCAAAACGCCTACAGGGCCTGGTGCGGAGTGCCCCCAGGGGCGAGCAGGGTCCAAGTCATTCCTAGAGACAGCGCCTCTTCCACAGGCTGACACCAACACAGGACAGGCAGAGAGAAGTACAAGACGGGCCTGGAACGTCGCACACCATAAAACAAGGAAGCGCTCCGGGAATCACGAGGATGTGCCTGAAGGCCAGAGGAGACAGCTCGAAGGGCTCTCGCCAGACAAATCCAGGATACTTCCAGCATCAAATAAATAAATAGCAATGAGTCACACCATCAAGGAACAGAAGAATCCATGAATCCTTACTGCCACATAAACGGGAGGGACGGCAAATTCTAGAATGCAAATACAGAAGGAACCGCGGAATTAGGGAATGACCAATGAAGTTAAAACTCATGGGTCAAAGCGTGATGTGCACCACGGAATTTATATAATTTCAATGAGCTCTACAAGTTACTAATTATGAAAAGCAAACAACCATACCAAAGATCTACAGAGCCCTAGCAGATGGATTATATGTTCCAGAAATGACAATAATGAACGCAGACACAGCCCAGAAGTGAACAGCATCTCACTGATGTTGCCAGTAAGGACATTCCAGAGGCCAGACGACAACTCGGGAAAGTAGACCTCCTTCCTATTTCTCTTATTCAGGGCCTTATCCCTAGCACAATACGGGGCACCGAAGGGCAGCTCAGGAATGTTTCGCTGTTGAATCAATGAATTCCATGAATCACAAAGGAAGCAAAGAGAGAAACTGAGCTTCAGGTTTTGCTAATCCTGGTAGCTTGGTGCCCCTGAAGAACCCCAGTCCAGGAGGTGAAGGCTGGGCTCTAGCCCCAGCAACGGTACTGGGGACCCCACGGTCCGGGACTGCTCCCCGCTCCAAGATCAGGACCTCCACGACTGTGTGTGGGTCAGCCAATACCTCTGCATCTCAGTTTCCTTCCCAGACAAAAGCATCAATCCGTGTGAGCTTTCCCACCAAACAGGTTTGAACCGTACTGGGTGGTTTTCCCTGTGGAAAATGCTGAGGCAATTAGCAGTGGGACGTACCCAGATGATGACACTGTGCCCTGAAAGGCTATCTTTGAAATTCTGCTGGCAGAGGAAAAGATGCTCATCACTGAAGAAAAGGAAATCCAAACCCCAGTGAGACAGAACCTCACACATAGGAGCATGGCGACCATCAAAAAAGAAATACTTAACGAGTTTGGCGAGGATGTGGCAGAGCCCTTGCCTGCGGCCATTGGGAAATGCAAAATGGTGCCACCGCCAAGGACAGACGTAAAGATTCCACTTACTCGAGGTACTTAGTCTAATACAGACAGCAAGCAGAACTGCGGTTGCCAGGGGCTGGGAGGCGAGGGGAAATGGGGATTCCATGCTTAATGAAACACTGATGCAAGATGAAAAGGGTCCCGGAGACGGGCTGCATAACAACGTGAGCGAGCTTACCACCCCAACCGTGCACTTATAAATGGTTAAGATGGTAAACTGTATGTTAACTGTATTTTACCACCATTTTTTAGAAGTTAATGAGAAATAAAATTCTGCCAGATGTGCCATAGGTGAACCTCAACTGTGCCAACCTTCTGGTTGTATGACCTTGAACTACCCATAGGACCCCTCAGTACTGACCTCCGGCAAACGGGGAGACCACCACGTGGGGCTGCTATGGTCCCTACAAAGACCCACCAAATACCAGCCTTGACGATGACAAAGCTCTTAGGAAATCACATCACATTAGAGCCCCTTAAAAAGGCTCTAATAACTTAGATGAAGTCACTCAATTAAGAAAAACTTCTTTTACCCCAGCTCTTGATTTAAAGACCCTCCCCACCCCCTTCAGTGCCCAAATCCCAAAAAGCCAGGCTGAGCGCCACAGACACCAACAAGAGGTTTTCTTTTTTTCTGACGGTTTTCTTTTCCATCCGATGGCAAGCCTACTTTGTGCTACCAGCTAGGTAAGGACCTGGACATGTAGACCTGAATCAAAGACCTCTGACTCCCAATGTACCCCCAGGGATACTCAGTCGACAATTCCAGACCACCGCCGAATGAGCCATCTTGCAACTCAGCTCTGCCCCAACACCCTTCCCTCCCAGCTTCCTCGCTCTCCTTCCTGCCTCCTGCAGAGCCCTGAACACAGCAGGGGGATTTCCTCCAGTCCCAGACTGCCGGACTGTCAGCCCCTTGGGGCACGATTCACATACCACTTGCCACCTGCATGACCAAACACAGAGCCTGGCTCGTCACAGAGCCTGGGCACAGGTGCACGGGAAGGCAGCCAGGGCAAGAATCTACCGGCTGCAAGGTCAGAACCCCCACCCTGCAGGTGAGCTGTCCTCAAAACGGGTCACTCCCCCAGCTCACTCTGCGCCCTCCATCCCCCCTCCAAGCTATGGACTCTGCAGAGGCTTCTGACGTCGACTTTGGAGCTTCCAGGGCTCACTGGCTGGCCTTCCTGTCTTCCTCCTCTCCTACCAGCTGACCCAACACCTCTTCATCCTCGTGCTCCTCGTCTCCACACATCTCCCGGCACCACCACCAACCCCAAGACCATACAACCATCACGCATGGATTACCATCCTAATTCCCTTCTATTAAAAAAAATCTTACACACAATTCAGTACCAGTAAGAAGAACCACGAGTAAGCCACTGCTCCTGTAGGCCAGCTCCCAAGACTGGGAAGGGATTAAAGCACCACTGGCTGGAACTAGCAAGGACGAGACAAGCAGTGGGTGATGTCCTACGAAGTCACTAGAGTGAGCCCGGCCAGCGCTAGCCACACGATCCAACCATCCCCAAGATCCCCTTCTGAGCCCGAGAGTGCCTGGTGCTGTCTCTTCCCTGATCATCTGGCCAACGGGCTGGTTCAGTGAAACAGGCACTTCTGTTTCCAAACTGCTGAACCACATCCCCCATAAAGGAGGACACTTTGTCCCCATAAAGGAAGCTCTTCCTTCCAAGCCACCACCTACAGTCTGGCCTCTGGCCCCAGCCCTCCCTCCCAGCCCTCCCCAAAGCTCTCTGTAACTCCCGCCTTTGACTGGCAAACTGCCCTGTGCCCTCAGCTCTGCCCTCTTAGCAGAGCCCTGGCAGGCCCCTGGGGAAACAGCTTCCTCGAAGCTTCGAGATGGCCCTGCAGTTTCCCAACTCCATTTTCTAGCCCCATGCCCTGCCTGTGCCCCCTAGCTGTCTATACCCCCCACACCTGCTATTACTGCTACATCTGACACATTCTGTCACTCTGTCATTCCTTGGGACTTCAGCAGACCAGGTCCCCCCCACCAACTCCTTGCATCATTCTAAGTGATGTTCACACTGAATACAAAGAGCACCCCAAACCCCAGCCGCTCACATTCTTGATCCTTCTGGAACCTTCCTGCCTCTCAATCTTTTTTTTTTTAAGATTTTATTTATTTATTTGACAGAGAGAGACACAGCAAGAGGGAACACAAGCAGGGGGAGTGGGAGAGGGAGAAGCAGGTTTCCCAATGAGCAGGGAGCCCAAGTGGGGCTCAATCCCAGGACCCTGGAATCATGAACTGAGCCGAAGGCAGATGCTCAATGACTGAGCCACCCAGGTGCCCCTGCCTCTCACTTTTCTGATGAACACATCAAGGATGGCCTTTCGGACCTCTGTAGCACTCACCGATGGCTGTGATCGCTCACCTGCCATCCCTGTACTCACTCAGCAAGCCAATGACTGGAGGGCAATCTCGTGCTTTCCCTAGGGGACAGCTGTCCATCCCCGGCCTTCCAATACCACCCAACTGCCGACAGCCAGGCCCCTCCCGCCACACCCCAGACTCCTACAGCAAAGCACTTACTTGTCACCTCCTGTCAGATGCCAAGAGGCAGCCCCTTCTAACTTCCACAACGGAACTCGCGATTTCCCTGCCAAACCTGTCTTCCCCCGATCTATAAGTGTCAACCTCAAAGAGCTCACCGCTTAAACTGGAAACCCAGTCATCCCCAGACGCCTCCCTTCCCCTTGGCCAACGCATCAACTCAACCCATCAGCTCGTCCCCGGCTGACCTGCTGACCCCACCCACCTGTCTCAGTGAACCACAGCGGCTCACTGGCCCGCCTGCTCGCACTCTCAGTTTCCGGGTCCTTCGACAGAAAAGCCAGAATGACTTCTTCAAAACACAAGGCCATGTGATTCCCGTGCAGCAGAATGATGCCCAATCTCCTCACGGGGTCACGTGTGCCCGGGGCCCTCCCGGCTCACCAGCTGCATCTCCCGCCCAGGCCCCCCCCAGCTCAGTGTTCCGCCTGCGGTGGTCCCAAGTCCCCGCTTGCCGCTCCCTTTCCTGAGAACAAACACTCTTCCCCATTTGCTCCCACGATGGCACCTTCTCTTCTCCTCCGGGTCCCAAACTCATGGTCACCCCCACAGCAAGGCCCAGGCTACCTGCTCTTAAAAAACCAAACACACCCTGATTCCCCACTTTATTTCCCTCTTCTTTCTTTACCCCTTTACTACAATTTATATGTTCAGAGAAAAAAAATCCACTTTTTCTGTCTCTCTCCCTTCTAGAACAAGAGCTCCATGACAGCAAGACACAGTTTTTCTACGGTGTTCCCCATGCCTGGCCCAGAGTGGGTCATTCTGAGTAAGTGAATGCACGGCTCTCCCCTGGATGAGAAGTGGGGACAGAGGACACTCAGACAACCCTCTGTGAGCTCTTATATGCAAGGGGAATGTGCAGGTCAGCCGAGGTCAGTAAATCATTCAACAAGTGCCCGAGCCCCAATTAAATAAGTCATTTATTGCTCAAAGGATACATTTTAACGCACTCTTAGCTGTGGCTAATTATTAGTCATTGGGTTAATTTTCCCTGGAGATTCTGCCCGCCTGTCACTGGGGGCTCCATCAGGGCAGAGCTGGGGGGACAAGGGGTGGAGGGAAGTGGGGTTCTCAGGGTCAAGGAGACCAAGAGCAGGGCCTGGGGTGAGGGACAAAAGAGAGGCCCATGGATCTCATGGTCAGACCCACACTAGCTCATTGGAACCCCCTTCCCCTAAAAGCAGGAGTTCTTAAGCTTGGCACTGCCGACCTCGGGACTGGACACATCTTAGGTACAGGGGCTGTCCTGTGTACTCCAGAACGGCCAGCAGCACCCCCAGACTCTATCGTCATGATGCCAGTAGCATCTCCCCTTCCCAGGTTGTGACAACCAAAAATGTCTCCAGACGTGGCCGGGGTGGCAAAATCCCTTGGGTCAGAACCATTGTCCTGAGCCTTTTCTCTTTCTAGAAAAGCCACTTCCCTTCAAATGTTGGCCCCAGACAGTCACCACAGGGCACTGATAACAGTCCCCTAGCCACCAAAACAAGGATAATGGTACAAACCCATTTCTCTGTTTGTTAGTCCAATTCCTCTCCAGGAGCTCACAGCCCAGGTCCGGCAAGCAGGGGATTTATGTTTAAGAATGACAGTAGGACATGACAAGGGTGATCGTGAGCTCTGCAGAAGATCAACTTCTTGTCTTTTTTCTGGTCACTTACCAGTGACTGATCCCCTATCCAGCACAGATTCTCAAAGTGGGCTCCCCAGACCAGCAGCATTAGCATCTCTGCTGGAAATGCAGACCTTTGGGCCCCATCGCAGACCCCTGAGTCAGAAGCTCTGGAGTGGGGCCAGCCCTCTGTACCCTACCAACTCCCCCAGGTGATGCAGACACAGGCTCAAGTTGGAGACTGTGCCATACAGTGTGCCTGGCAAGACCATCAGGAGACTCTCATCTGGGACTTACACCAAAAGTCCCAACCCTGACCAAATATCAAAATCCCAATCTCAACCTGGAGAGTTTTAAAACCAAGACCAACAGATGGCAAAGCCCCATTCAATGGCTGAATCAGAGGAAGCCAAGATAGAATGCAACTGGTTGGCCTTTTCCAAAGGTCCCCCAAGCCCAGCCAGTTCTAGTCATTGGCCAGATGCAGGAACCATTTGCACCATGACGAGTGGAAAGCATGGACAGCTGGAGGCCCTCAAAGGAGGTTTGGGAGGGTTACCAGGAAGAGACAAAGCTTTTGAGTAAAATTCAGGAGAATCATTTGGAGGAGACAAGGTGAGAAAGAGGAAATTTTCAGAAAAACAAAACCAGATATGCAAAGACATACTGCCTAGGAACAGCAGGTTCAAAATTGCATGGGGTCTGGTGTGGTAATGGGGTAACCAAAGGTCTTATATTCCAAATGAACTTTATACTTTATCCTAAAAAAGGGAAATAGTACAAGTTTTCAAGCCACTTTGTTGATGATGGACTTTGGAAGATAAGGAAACCAGTCAGGAATGTGACTTGAAAAAACAATAAGAAAGGACAATAAAGGATGCCTGGGTGGCTCAGCGGGTTAAGCATTCGCCTTTGGCTCAGGTCATGATCCCAGGGTCATGGGATCGAGTCCCGCGTCAGGCTCTCTGCTCAGCGGGGAGCCTGCTTCCTCCTCTCTCTCTGCCTGCCTCTCTGCCTACTTGTGATCTCTGTCTGTCAAATAAATAAATAAAATATTTAAAAAAAAAAAAAAAAAACAGAAAAAGAAAGAGACAATAAGCCACATTCCTTCGTGGAAGGAAACTAGACCCAATTTGCCCTCCCAGCCTTATTTCCCTCTAGTTAAAACAAATCTCACATCCCTTTGCTTGGTCCTAACTCTGGAACTGCCACTCCACCAAAAGGATAAATCACATAATCAATAATCGGAGTTTAAAATTCAACATCCTATCTCTAATTTACTGTATCAAAACAAGAAACATTGCAATTCAAACCATCCTTTTAAAAAACTTTAATATCCTTATTTAATATAAACTGAAGCATCTATCAACTTTATTCTTAATTAAATTCCTTAAAATTGGGATAGCAGTAATACGTATTTTAAGATTCAGGGGTGCCTGGGTGGCTTAGTTTGTTAAGCATCTGACTTCGGCTCAGATCATGGTCTCTGCATCCTGGGATCACACCTGGCATTGGGCTCCTTGCTCAGCAGGGAGCCTACTCCTCCCTCTCCCTCTGCCTCTCCCTCCTGCTTGTGTGCATGCTCTCTCTCTCTCTCTCTCTCTCTCTCTCTCAAATACATAAATAATCTTTTAAAAACTAAAATAAAAATAAAATAAAATTCTGTATTTTATTTACTAAACTTCTAAAAAACTACATCCACAAGCAACTCTGCTTACCATCAAAGCCCAGTAAATTCATTCCTGTTAAAATAAGACACTAAAAAGAGATGGCTCATCACATACTAATAACAGCTATCAAAGGTGTGGGAGGGGAGCACAGATAAAGAAAAGTAATAAAATGTATATACAGATAGTTTTACAAAAGTAGAAAGTCCAACTCAAAGGTACTAAGGGCAAGTTGTAAGATGCATAATAAAGAGATCAAAATCAACTGCATTACCGTTGCCTAATGAGACTGTGAAGGCGGGTGGCTTCTAATGATAAGATAAACTTATATTAAGATAAACAAGATATTGGGGCACTTGGGTGGCTCAGTGGTTAAAGCCTCTGCCTTCAGCTCAGGTCATGATCTCAGGGTCCTGGGATCGAGTCCCGCATTGGGCTCTCTCCTCAGCAGGGAGCCTGCCTCCTCCTCCTCTCTCTCTCTGCCTGCCTCTCTCCCTACTCGTGATCTGTCAAATAAATTTTTTAAAAAAATCTTTAAAAAAAAGAAAAAAAGATAAACAAGATATTAACTTAAAAGAATAAGTGGCGGGGCGCCTGGGTGTCTCAGTGGGTTAAAGCCTCTGCCTTCAGCTCAGGTCATGATTCCAGGGTCCTGGGATCGAGCCCCGCATCGGGCTCTCTGCTTAGCGGGGAGCCTGCTTCCCTCTCTCTCTC